CGTAGCAGTACAACTCTTCGGCCTAAGTCCGTTTTCAAGAGGTCAAGGGGAGGCAGGTCAGGGGTCTTTGCATATTCTTCTTCAGTTCAGTTACAATTCGGCGTATAATTACAATATAAATATATACACAGTAACGTTATACAATAACCAAACACTATCTCTGTTCGTATAACTCATCAGTTTCAAACATCCAAAATTCACTTCACAAATTTAGTCATTCTAATTTCTAACTTGTGACTTGACGCAGCCGGTTTTTAAACGCTGCAACTGACGAAGCCGTTCTTAACTCAGTTGACAAGTTATTCCACAGTACCGATCCTGAGTAGGAAATTGATCTTCTGTACACTTCCCGACGAACCCTTGGCACATACAAAAGGTCAGATACACTTTGCCGCGTGGTTCTTACTGCCCTATCACTACAGTATGTAAACAGTTCTCTCATGTAGGCTGGCAAACAGTTATTAAGGCTTTTATAAGTTAGCAGGGATTTCTGGTCTCTGTGTATGGATTTGATGTCCTTCCATCCCAGTCGAGTCCGTACTTCAGCCGACGGCGTTCTGTGCGGGGCTCCCAGCAGCAGCCTCCCAGCCCTGTTCTGCATCCGTTGAAGTTTCTGTAGCTCTTGCAATGGTGCAGTGTCCCAAACAGTACTTGTGTAGGTTACATATGGTAGAAAAATACTGTTGTACAAAGTACGTAGTGCTAATGTGGATATGAAGGGACTGACGTGCTTCATGATACTTAGGGATCGTCTTAGCTTACCCAGTACGTGTTTAACATGCCCTTTCCAGTTCAGATTATTGTCAATGTATATACCTAAGTACTTATATATGTTACACATGGTTACAGGTTGAGCATTAATAACCAAGCTGGGGTTGTTACTGTTTTTCAGTCTTTTGTCTGTACCCAGCAACATGCACTTACATTTACCTCCATTCACAGACAGAGAGTTCACAGCAAACCATTGAGACAGCCTTTCGAGATCTTCTTGTAGGACAGTCTCAATGGTATCAACATCCTTGCTGCTGACATATGTATACTATTGTACATTTAATACAAGTACCGTATGTACAAAAATATGTACAAAAATATTTGGATACACCAGTGAAACCACATAACAAATTGGGTGCACTAAGGTGCACATGCAGTATTTCAAGCCCCCCTCCCCTCACCTCTTCTGGAGAGTCTTGTGTCTGCATCTGTGTCCACGAACAGCTTCATGTTGAACAGGTCGCGGATGTTTCTGTAGTAGAACACCAGGATGCCTTCAAACAACACCACGTCTGCAGGGTAGATCGTGGTGAACTCTCCCTCTCTCCTGGAGTGGAGGAAAACAGGTTTGTATCAACAGTTTCATAAGTAAAAAGTGGTATATCAATATACTATAGTTGGTTCGTAGGCCCACATTCCTTAGCCTGGTTACCAAACCTATTATAGCTCCCGAGTCCTACATCCTTTTTGCAAATTTACTATAATAGGTTTGGTAACCAGGCTACACTTTCCTTACATCAACCGTGTGCTGAGTGAAACCCTAAACTTAAACCAAACACAAGAGATTCGAATGTTACAATACAATTGATTTAGGGACTTTTTTTTAGGTGGAGGACACAATGTTTTCTCAACTTCTGGCCCATTTTGTGTTGAAATGTATAATTTCTCATTTCTCTATAATTATAAATTATAACACAATGTATTCTGCTTCACCCTCTGTCCGAGCCCACCCACGGGTGATGTATAGAAAAAATGTGTTCTATATTCATGTAAAATGAGGTATGTTACGAAGTAGCATTGCTCACCTGGCATGTGTGACAAAGTCGTAGACTGGGATGTGAACGGTCTGCCCTGCTATGATGTTTCTCAGGGTCTCTTCAATCAAGGTGTTGTCGAAGGCATCTAGATTGGAGAAAAACAGCAACAGTTGTTATGATAATACATGTATATTATGTTCTATATGAAAAGATATCAACTGATGTTGCTGTTGGAGGGAGGGTCACTAATCAGCTAATCATGTTGCACCATAGGGTCAGGAAGCAACGTGATTGGTTAAAGGGAGGGTCACCAGCCAATTACGGAGCAGTATACAGTCAAGAGGCCCAAATATTGTTGTATGCTTACATATGCAAATACATTTGTATATTAAATGCACTAGTATACTTCACATCCTAGACTGCCAGAAAAATACTAAATCTTTGTTGTACATCAGTACATGTAAGTTAGAATTTGGGTTGAATGGAATTTTTGCAAGATCCAAAACTTTGATTGATATCAATATGCATTTCACTTTCTTTGTTTTGTATGGTGCACCCAAAAACATTTTCTGTGCATCCAATTTAATAGCTTGAGTGCACCAGCACACCTATTCCCAAAAATGACCCCTGATAACCAACTCCCCACCTGGATGGTCGAAGTTGAACTGCCCCTTGAAGGCCTTGGCCTTCTCCTCGGGGGTTAAGACTTTGTAGAAGGAGTCTTGGCTGAGGATGGCAACCTGCCGCTGCTTACAGTCCACCTCGTGCTGGCCCAGCAGCTCCATGATTCTCCCACATACTGACGACTGGGGGTACAAGAGAGAGGGTATCATCATGATGACATCATCATAGTTAACCCCCCTTTAGGGGAAAAAGTAGGGGAGGGTTGAGGTCTGGGCTACCAAGGGCTGGCAGGGCTTCAGCCTGGCTCAAAAACCTTAACAGTGGGAGCAAGGTAGGCAGGCCTTTATTCTTGCTAATGAATTCATCCAGTTTTATTAACAAGGTCTATGACCTGCTGTAACGTTAGTAGTTTTGTGGTCTTGCAGAAATGTTTCCAAAACTTCATCAATTCTCTTTTAGAATCAGAATATTATGACTTGCTTGAACACAGATATAATGGCATTACGATTTTATTGGCGAGCGTTTCATGTTACCTTGTGGTAAACAATCTTGTAAAAGTTTTTAAGGGATGGGCATACATTTGTGAAGAAACATGCAGTCAGCAACTCTAAAAACATTAATTTTTACATAATGATTTTATAAATTAAATTGCACGTAACCCACATTTCTTACAGTGCCATCACAGTATTTTATGGTGTGTCATGCATATTTCCTAGTCATGTCATATTTACCCAGATGATGTAACTGGCATGGGGATACTGTAACACTACCAAGGACCACCCTTGCAACTTTAAACCAGCTGTGCGCACTTTTAAACCTATCACGTTACAAGATTTCATAAAGCGTGCCTGGGAATATTTGCTGTAGTTGCGTAAAGCGTTGCCACGCGGGTTGGACTCTGGTCAAGTGCATCGCGTCTCTTCCGGGTGCTAGCCGTTACACGTGTCAGCGGCAAGTTACGAAAAAACATTCGCATTAATTTTTACCCGCCAAAACAAAGCCATTTTTTGTCGCCGTGTGTGCCACATGGCGCCTCCTAAGTAAACACGGCCGTTTACTCTATAAAAATTCCACCTGCCGCCACGAAACTTTCAGGAAGGCTTCTACACCCCTTTACCTTGCCAGATGCAGTGCCGCCAGCCACGCCGATTATGAAGGGCTTGCGGTGGAGACCGTTTTTCACGCCGTTCCTCGCGCTCACACCATTGCAGCCCGCCATCTTGTCCAAGATGTGGGACGGGCCTAAAGCCTGACGTATGCCGTCCTCTGATTGGTCAGATTTGATGCGGCGATGATCAATACTGCGTTGTGATTGGTCGAAATACCGCTTTCTGTAAAAGCTGTCATACGTTTCAAACAGGAAGTGCCAAAATTTCGTGCTCTCAAAAAACTTTATAACAGTTACTTTTACCACAATAATATTGACATGTTATGTAAAAATGCTTTGTATGATTTGTATAAGTATTAATATAAAGACAATATATATGTTTATGAGTATATTTTTGTAAGAAAAGTGAATTCAAAACTGGCGTCTATAAAACGTATATAAGACAGCCCAATTCGACTGGACAGTTCTTGCATAGCCGGCATTTCTGATCGAAGCTGTATCTACAAAACGTCGACAAAAATGCTTGCGGATACGCTTTTAATCGTTTTCATATCCATATGTACAGCCTTGTTAGCTGAAGGTAAGAGAGAGAGGTGATCCTATAGTGAATTAAGTCTTTCCTAAGATGACAAAATATTATATATTTCACAAACACATGCTTATATATTTGTCCATGGGAGGGGGGCGTATGGATCTTTATCAAAGTTTATGGTATAAAATAATAATATAAATGTAGTTGAAAAGACCTGATAACTTCAGGGGTGTGATATTACATGGAACACACAGATGATACAACGTAAGATTAGTTCAGTAGTTTGCTTTGAAACGACAAGATGAAGAAATAATCAATTGAGAATGTAAAATGAAAATGATTTTTTTTTTTCACGTTAGATTTTGTTATCCAATCCTCATTCAAATTCCAGGCATCACGTGGCTGCTGGTGTACAGAACAGAGAAGTACCAGAAACTCAAATCTGAAGTGGAAAAACAGAGCAAGAAATGTAAGCCTTGCAAGGTTACAAGTTTGCACTTTTTCCCATTTTATTAAAATTGCCATCATTATGAAGAATATTGATTGTATAATAATTTAATCTGATCTTTCCTTTTTTTCCAGTGGAAAAGAGAAAGGAAGCCATAGGTGAAGCAATTGACAAAACACAAAAGCGGAAACTAGGTATAAAATCTTGTAATTTTTTTGTCTTTATTGGCACATGTACATGTGTATGGTCTTTGTGTGTGTTTTTTACCTTCGCCAAGAAGGTTATGTTTTCAGTAGCGTTTGTCTGTGGGTGTGTGGGTGTGTTTGTGTGTGTGTGGTTTAGCAAGATAACTCGAGAAGCAGTGGATGGATTGGAATGAAACTTGGTAGGTGGGTATGACTTCATGAGACCTAGAAATGATTAGATTTTGGGCCCCCTGGCGGCTTTCCTAGGTACTGCAGCTGAACTTCCGGTTTTGATATCTCATGTTCTGTACATGCTAGGGTCACGAATTTTGGTTGGTAGATAGCTCTTAAGGTAGGGAAGAAGTGACATGAGTTTGGGTCCCCTAGCGCCTTGTTCTAGAACTGCAGGAGCATTTGTTGAAAAAAAATTGAAGGACGATAACTCAAGAACCGGTTGACGTATTGTCGTGATTTTTGGTATGTAGGTAGTTGAAGTAATGCTTGACATAATCAGATGGCAATTATGCAAATCAAGAGCTAATTTGCATAATTAATGAGGAAATTCTATAAATCTGATTTGTTCGATAATAGAACTATGAAACAGTTGTGACATCTACTTGAGAACGAGAAAAACATCTGAGGATATAGATTATGTAAATGAGGACCTAATTTGAATAATTAATGGCAAATTCTTATAATTCCATAGTTGTAACTGCTGCACCCCGAATTTCATACTTGCCACATTTGGAAGTTAAGTGAAGGTGAACATCAATAAACATAATTTATTCAAATCATGACCTCATTTGCATAATTTATGAGGAAGTGCTATAATTAATAGCCTTTTTGTTATGATAAGGCTGTCATTGGATGGAGAATATGATCAACTGATATAATCCATGCAAATGAGGCTCTTATTTACAAAATCAATGATTAAAATTGTATAATTCGTCACCCGCAAGGGTTAACATTTTTTGGCGAAGGTATGAGATCGTGGAACTCTTGTTTAAAGCTGTGAACCCATACCATGTTAGTGATGATATAATGATGTTTTTTTTTCATTCCAGAAAAACAGGAAGAAAAGTTGAAGAACAACAACAGAGACTTGTCCCTGGTAGGTCAAACTACATTATTGTCGTAGGTTTTGAAATGTAGAAAAGACACATGATGTCCTTCGCTGTGAAAATGATCCTACTACTGCACTGCTTGTAATGTAGACAGAAGTTTGTGATGGATACAGGAGTTTTCTTTTACACAACCTTGCTGACGTTTCTGTGTCTATCAGACACCTTCCTCAGAGCTTCTAACTTGAGTTCTGCTTCTGGCCGTTATATGTAGCCAATGTGGCGCTTTTGCGGTGAGAACACATCAGCAATGTAAACTCTCTTGGTTGTATAAGAGAAACTCCTGTATCCTACTCTTTACCAACCTGATGAAACTATTTTTGGAAGGAGTTTGTGATATTTATTGAAATGTTGTTTCCCCACAGGTAAAGATGAAGTCCATGTTTGCCATTGGGTTTTGCTTCACTGCCCTCATGAGCATGTTCAACTCCATGTAAGTCATTTCTTCTTTTTCATAGGAAATAATTTAATTGAAACTCTACTACTGGACAAATTATGGAGATAATTTCTGGACGTTTTGAATGACATCCAGTCACCACTCTTCTTCAGCATCACTAATGAGCTAACAGAACTCGTTAACATATATATATGAGTAACTGGAAAAAAACGGTTGAACATGAATTTCACATTCAGTATGAGTATAAAAATGCATGTTAGGGCCAATGCCACAACAGTTTGCGGCATTGTGTTTTGAATGACTGATTCTGATTCAAGTGATTGGTTGTTGCAGATTTGTTGTGAATCTCTGATTGGTTGTTGCAGATTTGTTTTGAATCTCTGATTGGTTGTTTCAGATTTGATGGGCGTGTGGTTGCCAAGCTGCCGTTCCTGCCCTTCTCCCTGCTGCAGGGCCTGTCTCATCGGAACCTGATGGGGGAGGACTACACGGACTGTTCCTTCATCTTCCTCTACATCCTCTGTACCATGTCCATCAGACAGGTGAGCCTACATCCTCTGTACCATGTCCATCAGACAGGTAGGACCACATCCTCTGTACCATGTCCATCAGACAGGTGAGTCTACATCCTCTGTACCATGTCCATCAGACAGGTAAACCTACATCCTCTGTACCATGTCCATCAGACAGGTAGGCACACATCCTCTGTACCATGTCCATCAGACAGGTAGGACCACATGTTGATAGCCTGGGTGCCATCCTCTGTAGTTATCACCGGCTCCCTACTCCCAACAGTAGTGAGTCAGCGATAACTACACAGGATGGCATACAGGCTATCATGTCCAGTACAGAGTCATTTTCTTTCTGCTCCTTTATCTTCCTCTACATCCTCTGTACCATGTCCATCAGACAGGTGGGTCCACATGTCCATTCAGGGCTGGAAATACTGGGTGCATGTGCACTGGACTTAGCCTGCATAGCAGGCTTATAGAACTGGGGGTTTTGGTGGTCTTCGGCTGTTTTCTGATTAGCCCAGTTCAAAAAACGAGGGTAATTCAACCAGGCCGGCTATGTTGTCTATATGCAATCAGAAAATAGCACATAAAAGACCATGAACACCCCCCCAACCCCCAGTTTTTGGCATGCTATGGTGGACTGGAGGTAATGCAGGGTTATGACAAGGGGCTTCTAAGTTCTAACTAGCTTCCTGAGGGTTAAAGAATAGCCAGACATTCAAGTCTTCAAGAAGAAGCTAAACTGAAGGAAAATGAAAAAAATTTGTATAATATTTATAACACGCCTCTCTTTTTCTCCTCAGAACATCCAGAAGATGCTGGGATTCGCTCCCTCAAGAGCGGCCAATAAGCAAGCAGGAGGGTTCCTGGGCCCCCCTCCCCAACCTCCCAAGTAGAGTCGTCCAGAGCTCTAGCCAGCTCGAAACTTTTTTCTGTCATCCCAGGTTCATGCTTGGACCCGGGGGGAAGGTACTCGCAACCTAGGGGGGACTGGGGGTTAAATTCGGATTTTTCAGATTCAGATTTTATTGAATATCGACGGGCATGTCACATCAGTGCATGAAATATGTTGAATATTTACAACTTGTACTCAATTATTACAATAGATAGCATAAAATGTCACATGCATCTGCATAATTAGCGATAAAATACATCATAAAAGCTTTGCTGGAAAAATAGTAGAAATTGGCCAAAATAAAGGAAATAGTATACCTGGGGAGTTGGTCAACCAGAGAGGGTACATTTTGTGACCCACGGATGCGGAAAAATGTACTCTCTAGCGGACCAACTCCCCCGGAATGTTATCTCTCTATTTGGCCAATTTCTACTCTTTCCAGCCGCCTCCCGAAGCCTGGTAGAGGCTACCAACATATAGCATATCGAAACAACTGCAGAAAAGCAGACACATTGAGAGCAATACCTGCTTACATGGAGGTGGAAACCTTACCAGGAACACTTCATCAAATGAATTTAAGTTTGGTTTCATTTAAAAATGACTTTGCAACAACAAGCTGGGAATTCATTCATTTAGTGAAACTCTAACTGTGAAATGTACAAAATGTTATTTTCACTCATTTTCACAGTAAACTTGTATCACATGTATTTGTATTATTAAAATGAGATTATGTTACATATGTTTGTAGCCTTGTCCTGCAGAGCACAACAATTGTTGTTTTGCACATACAGTACCAATTATATAGCACCCTGTATAGGTACGATTTGGGGATATTTCTCATGCAGCGCATCACACCGCAGTGAAACACAACGAATGCGGAAGTAACTATGCCACTGCAGAGCAAAAAAATTGGGGTGGGGGTCTATGACCTAATTAAGTGAAATTATTGAAAAATATTGTGCCAGGAATGTCAGCAGGACAAGGGTTAATGATTTCACCTTCTCTTGTGATTGACTTGTGATAGCAAATAACCACATAGTGTTACAACATCATTTGTTCTTATTATATATATAAAATTTTGAATAAAAATGTTTACCGAAAGATGTGGGTATAGCAAACATGTTGAATTTCTAATTGGCTTTTTTCCAGTTGGGTAACAAAATATAAGAGCTAGGATGCAGGTACCAAGATAGTTAACAAGAATATATAAAATGGTGCATTAATTATATACTGTAGCATTGCATACTGGTTTGTCATCTGTGAATCTTAAAAATTACCGAGATTCATGAGTTCTGAGTACTTTTGAAGTACATGCATGTACATGTAGCTATTTATTACATTTTAGTGGATGAGTGCACATTTCCATATGCAATCAAATAAAATTCTTAAGGAGTGCATTTTTAAAGTGGTCTTGTTTCTTATGACATTGTGTGTGACTCTTTGGGTTATTCCAGCATTCATATATATGTAACTTATATAATGTTAACGTTAGTTCTTTCAAGATGGAAGGATACACAGAGAAAACATTACTCAAGCAACTGGATATGATTTTGGAAATGGTCAGACACACCCACTACCTTTCGACAGTGACACTGGAGAGTTGTCCAAAAAGATATAAGTAAGAACTATTGATTGATATGCAAATAAGCGAAGACAAGTTTTTTTGAAAGTCCAAAAGGAAACAAAAGTTAGACAGGACAAAGATGAAAGAAATTAGTCAAGTCGCTGTTTCAGAACAGAAGCTTAAGTGTTTTCTGTTCTACAAAAATGTACTGGCCCTGTACATTTTAGGAGGAGTGGCTTCCTAGTTTCAGTTTATTGAGATACCCTTTAGCCCATTATGGGCTATTCTTCCAGGGTTCCAATACAAATACATGTAACATCACAATTACAGACACAATCCTACATATTTACACTTAACTTACAGCATAAATCATATAAAAACAGAGGAGTTACACGTCGCATAAAAAACCTTAACTGTTTACATGGCAATCGTTAAAAAACATGAATTCTACCTTGAAGATAACTGTCTGACTTTCATGCTTCCTAGAATATCAAGCTTTGGAAATTTAACACTCCCTTTGATGCGCTTCAGGCAATTAAGATGTAATGTCTTGTTTTACAACCAATTTACAACTTTACCTAACAGAAACTAACTACTGTTATTTTATTTTAATTTGATTGTAACAATACAATACACTGGCCACCCAGGCAGCATAGCTGATTTCGGGTGCCAAACAATACAAATATTAAACATACACAATATAACATACTAATACAGTAAAGTAACAAGTAAAGATTAAGCTAAAATCAATCAGTTAACAATATAAAAATACAACAGACTTAAGTACCAAGCATAATAAAGTACTCAATCAAGATAATAATAGCAAATTACTGTTTTCTAAAAGCATTGAAAGAGTAACTTGACACTTATTGCGGAACTACTGTTAAAGGTAATGTGTACGTTGTGTGGTGGATCGAGATTTCTGTTCGAACTAATTATAACGCAGGCGAGAAGAACAACATGTATAATACTGGTTTATTTCTTTCATACTATACGGTACAGAGTAGCAGGGTCCCCGTAGGGCCCTGAATTGATCTGCCGCATTACACAAATTGTTAAAAACGGTTGGCACAAATATTAAAAGCGATTATTAAAGACAGTTAAAAACAGCAATTATTAAAAGTATTTACAATAGGTGGCGATCATAGTCAAGCGGTTAAATGTAATCAGATGAATCATATTATAACATACAAAGTTACAAAGTCTAGACATGACTGGCAAAGCTAAAAGGTGAAGACCTCCTCGGCGTACGTGCAAAAGGACACCTGCTCCGCAAGGCTTATCCGATATTACTCTGATTACTTCTAAAAGCATTGAAAGAAAAACTTGACACTGATTGCGGAAGAAAGCGCTCAATGTACCATGTACCACCTGTTAGACACCGAATAGCATGCAACACATCCGCTCAGGGATTATAATATAAGCTTTTACAGCATCTAGCTGAGTGCCTACGTGCGTATGTTTTGTTTTATTCTATTTGACAGTGTGAGGTACTCTATAGCACAAAACAGTTACTCAAGCAACCATCGTAGACTGGCACAACAATGTTATTAAAAGGATTGTCAAAATGTGACATGGGGGGGGGTCTTCCTCATGTATTTACTATTGACAAGGGGGGTAAAGTGACAGGGGGGATTCTGTCTCAGGTATTTACTACTGACAAGGTTCTTTCAGGTTTTTACCTCAGGCATTGACGGTCCCGCCTGTTGCTGACCAACACGGTTGGAGACAGTCAACAGGGAAGGGGCCTTTTTAAGGTTTGTTAATTTTACGGTTTTCACAACAGCCGGGTTGGGAGCCAGAGGGGCAGGGACAATATGGCGTCTGCAGTGGACCATGGATTTAAACCCCTGCCGAAACTCCTTCAGGGTCCAGGTGTAAATGATGGGGTTGACGGCAGAGTTCCAGTAGTAAAGCGCGACGCAGGCGAAGGTAACAGCTTTCGGCAGTAAGGTGGCGTAAGGGTCAACGTAGAAAGACACGACAATGGCAGGAGTGGTCAGAGCGAAGAAGGTGAAGTAGATGTAGAACATGTGCTTCGTGCGTTTGACGGCCTGTAGGGACACTTGTTGCGGGCTGTGGCCGAGGTGCTGGCCGACGGCCACGGCGCTCTTTCGCACGTGCAGGTAGATTCGGGCGTAGAACGCAAAGATGGCGAACGCAGCGGCCCAGTGCGTGGACATGAGGACGTGTTTTAAGAACAACACACCTTTGGGATCATCGGACGATAACTGACATACATGTACATGCGCGTCCCACCCCAAGGTACCATATTTGCCTGCGATAGCGGGAAACATGATCAGAATACCGGTTACCCACGCCCCAACCACCCAGAGAAAGGCCTTGACGGGACTGAACAGACGCTTGTAAGTCGCCAGTGAGAGCACAACGTGCACATAGCGGTTAAAGGCAATGAGAGCACAGGACAACAGTGACTGAGTGATACTGAACATGCTCAGGAAACCTATGAAGGCACAGCAGGCTTTCCCGCAGTTAGGCTGACCGCTCAGGGTAGACCAGAGGGACAGAGGGATGATGGCGGCAGAAGAGACCAGGTCCCAGACGCTGGTGTTCAGGATGAAGGTGTTAGCAGCAGAGCGAACCTGGGACAGAAATAACCTGTTAGTTCAACTGTTGAATGGTTTATTTACATCCTCATTATCATTACAGACGGCTGAAGTAAAATACAACTTACAGCAAGAAAGGTAACATTTGCAAAGCAAATGCATAATGTTTACATTCGGATATGGTTGATTTTATCTTTTCTAGCGGTCTAATGTATTGATTTGGATTAGTCGTAAAGATATAGCCGTACCTAGGGTATGAAATTTTCTTCTAACACAACCAGTAAGGTTCTCACCTGCTTACGTTTCGATGTCTATCAGACTCAGAGCTTCTGACTGGAGTTCTGCAACTAGAGTCTATCAGATGTCTGATATACATCGAAACTTAAGCAGGTGAGAACCTTTACTGGTTGTGTAAGAAGAAAATTCTATACCCTAAGTATTTTCAACCTGATGAAATTATTTAGGGATATATCCATACCTTCTTGTAGAGGCAGAAAGCCAGGACGACAGCGGTGTTTCCGACTGTCCCCACCAGGCCGGACAAGGCCAACATGCCGAGAAACAGGACATCTTCCCACGACGCCACATAGCTAATGTCAGGTGGCGTCGTCACAACTGACTCGTTCGTCAACCTCCATCCTAAAAATAAATTTTAGACTAGAAAGGTAACATTTGCAAGGCAAATGCATAATGTTTACCTTCGCATATGGTCTGCTCTGTTAATTTGTACTTAAACACATTCACATATATGGTCAGACAGGAGCCTAAATCCCTCCTGCTATAAAACTGTAACATTATGTAACACCAGTTACCATGGTGAGAGTCTGGTTCAGTCAGGTTGGAGGTCGCTGTTTGGAGAAGAAGAAGAAACGTAGCAAAAATCGTTTTCCTTCGGTAAACATAATAATGATAATAATAATAACATAATAATAGAGTCAATTCCGCGTCACCAAGTGGGTTGTTATTGTCATTATTTAGAAATGTTTTGAATTCTTTGTAATTGTTTGTCTAAGAAATTTCATAATTTGGAAATATTTTGAACATCTTGTCAATATTCTAAATAATTCCCTGGTTTTCTAAAACGTTTGAAATATTCCTGATGTGGATTATGACATTTCCAATAGTTTCTAAATATTTCTAAGAGCACTCTACCATTTTTTACCATTATTTCGAATTATTTCTAACATTTTGTAAATAGGTCAGTGGGATGGGAAGGAAGTAATTCACACATCCCTGTGAAGTACAGGGTAGACTGCCTGGGTGTCAGGCATTGATGCCTTACAACAAAAGAGCCACCAGTGTCCAGCAGTGAAATCTAAAAATATACAGAGGAAGACAGAAGAGTAGGATTAGCACCTACTTTTATGGGGGCAATTACCCACATCTACCATTTGGTTATTTGTTTGAAATAGTTCTAAATATTTCGAATTGTGAAAGAAACACATGGGTAGTTCAAATTTATTCTAAAGAAAGAGATCTTTGAACAGTCACATTCAAAATGTTTCAGAAATATATAAATGAATTCAAATATATTCAAATTTTCATTTTCAAATTTTTGAAAAATTTAGAACTTTTGTTACTGGGGTATTCTTTTCTTCTAAATAATTCAAACGTATTAGAAACATGGAGAAAAAACCCACTCGGTGACGCGGAATGGACTCTAATGGAGTCAGGAAGCATCAGTAATCTAATTGCATTCTCTTATAGGTAAATGAATTCTTCAGGAAAAAACAATATACCTAACTCTTATAGGGGAGGGAAATAAACTTTATCGCTTGGAATTACAAGAAAAGAAAAGGTTGCCTGCAAATGGAAAATTACGACTTTAGCCATACCTGGTGTAGTGCTATTGCAGGAATCTGTGCTGTTGAAGAGCCACGTGTCCTGGAAGAACGACTCATAGTTGAAGAACCGTGTGTCGTTGAAGCTGAGCCGATTGTGGTTGACGCGGGTCTTGTTGGTCCATGTGGTGTTGCAGAGTGAGTAGACCTCGTCATCGGCTTGTGTTCCCACAGTCAGCGCTCTGCAAACTATCACAACTGAAAAATACATGTTGTATTTTATTAAAACCGTTCTACTACCCCGTAGGCATTTCCTTCGTCCTACAAGACCATGAAAGTACTACTACCCCAAACCAAGACCATAGCATGTATGTTATTTGACAATGTTATATGTAAATCATCTCGACTGCCGAGGAGTTTGAGATCATACCCAAACACTAAATTGCACAAAAGCAACTGCAATGCTGGGTCGCTGTTAGCTACATGTACATGTATCGGAAAACAATATTAGCACTTATATTTCAGATTAAAAATAAAATAAAATAAAAGAGACATAGATAGGGGTCTGGGATAATCACAACATCACAGAGGCACAAGCTGTTCATGAGATTAAACTACACGAAGTCTGTCTCACCTTGTATATAATACAGCAGCAGAGCTGCAGCCTTACGGTGGCGGCCCATCTCTGTATCTGCCTCTGTATAGCCGGTGTAACCACCCTTCGGCGTAACACACCAGCTTCGTAGGCACGCGGCGCAGCGGCAGCTGGCTATATCACACCGAACGACTTGTTACAGCTAACCATTGAACATCTAACTCTCAGGCACTGTTTAAAGCTATCTAATGACAGTGCCCCTACTGTACTTGGCGGTAATGTCCTACTCGTACCAGCTGCACAGGAGACGTCGCGTGGACGTGTGGTGACGAAATAATCTCCAAGCAGATCCCTTTCGGTGGCAAAAGACAGTATCAAATTGGCCAGGCAGTATCCATTAGCCAGAGAAGGTCCGCGGCCACCGACGGGTGGGGGTAGCGACAAAGAATCAACGGCCATATATAAAAAGCTAACGATCAATCATCAGTCCCCCACAACCTCTGCTTCGAGAGTAGTGGTGAAAA